CTGTAGCGCTTGATCGCCTGGATCAGGCTAGTGGTGTCGAGGATGTCAGTCAAATCCACCTGCAGTACTGCAAGCGCTTGCTGGAAGAGATGATCCGCGGAAGCACTTGCAAAGGCAGGCGACGCACCATCAGGGAACTTCTCTTGTGCTTCAGCAAGAAGATCAGCGAAAGATTCAGCCCTGTAGATGCCGGAGCTCAGTAGTGTCCTTGGCGCTCGCTCGCAGAGGTGAGGGACAGCGTAGGTCGCGGCGGAGGAGCAGGCTCAGACTCCTGAGACGATTGGCCGGACTGCCGCTGCTCCCTCGGCCCGCGCGGTTGTGGTCGCTGCCAAGCTAAACCTCCAGGCACACAGCGCACAGCGAGAAGCTGCACAATCACACACAAAACACAAGCCCGAAAAGAACCAGCACTGCTGGCACCCAGACGCGGCAGCGCCAGCCCAAGCGCGAAGCCGCGCAGACAAGCAGCCTAAGGGTCAAGCAATCAAGCAACAAGCAGCAGGAGCATGCAGGAGGAAGAAAATCCCTTAGACGCGATACCCGGAGGCAGCCGACTGACCACTGTCAGTCGAGACGTCCGCTGCCGCCACAAAGCGGGCGGCCGCGGACGGAGAAAGGGCAGCCGCCGACAAGGAGCCGGCGCTGCCCGGGGGTCCGCCTGGGGCAGCGGACGGAGGGAGGCTGGACACAGGAACACGGTACCGCTCGAGGTAGTCCTCCTCGCTAGCCTCCGAGTCAGCGGTAGCCGAGTCAGCGGTAGCTACTCGATTCCTCGCGTGGTACTCTATGTATGTTTATTCGCATAAAGTATGAAGTGCCTCAAGCAAAAGAAAGCAGGAACAAGCTATACCTGCATGCACACAGCGCCATAGCGAGAAGCTGCCTCTGACCAGCCGATGTCAAGGACGCTGCCCTCTCCTCATAGCCTGTACGTTCACTGCTCGAGATCTCTCCGTGCCCAGAAGCATCCTCTGGCGACCTTCTTCGTTGAGGCGCACGACTTTGTTTCTTTTGCTTGAGGCACTTTTTACCTTGAGCGAGTAAACATTATTACTTTCATAATGCTGGGCTGTCAGTCGACGCGTCCGCCACCGCGGACGGAGAAAGTGGGAGCCGGCGCTGCCCGGGGGTCCGCCGGGGGCAGCGGACAGATGGAGGCTGGGCGCATGCTGACGGTACCGCTCCGAGTAATGCAAACAGTCCTCCTACCTCCTCAATATCCTCAGCTGCTGAGCACGGCAGCCATCTGGCCCTTGAGAAGTACCATCACCGACAGCGCAGTGAAACTAGGAAATTTATTTGCTCGCGTTTTCAAAGAGATAAGAGGAGGAGGCGGAGGAGACAGACGGGAGAGGGACTGAGGTCACCAGAAGAACATGTTTGATAGAGTCTTCTGTAAGGTCTGGTAGTTGTCGTACTGGCGAGTGTACCAGTTGTCAAGCGAGTCGTCCACTAGATGATGCACAAAGTCGCGAACTTCTTCCTCTCTCCTCCTCAGCATGAACCTGTGACCCCTCAGCAAGAAAGGTCGTAGGAGAGAGAGAGGGAGAGGAGGGGATGAACGTAAGAGCGTGCGACGAGGGGGAGGGGAAGTGGCCGCGCCGGCAGGGGGGGGGGGGGGAAGGGGGGGGAGGGAAGGACTTACTGCTCTTTAATGGAGAGCACAAGAGAGCTGGTGGCCTGAGACTTTATCAGTTGAAAGGAAGAGAAAGCGAATGAGTGACATGACGACAAGAGGGTGAAATCAGGAAGAAGAGAATACGGCAGAAGGACGAGAGGAGAACGAGAAGCAGGAGCAGAGTGGAGGTGGGGGGGGAGGGGGAAACCTGGCCAGCCACACAGGGCATGCTGAGATCTCCTCCTAAACCGCTCGACATCATCTCGATGAGGAACAGAATCTTCCGACAATTTTGTGGCCTGCGAACTTCAAGAAACCCTGTGGAGAGTGACGAGTGAATGACAATAAGGAGCCTGCAGACTAAAAAGGAAAAAGAGTGGGAAATGACGAGTAGGAGAAGATGAAATAGGAGGTAGTGGGAGATCAAGTTGGGAGGAGGAAGAAGAGGGATGAGGAGGGGAGCAAAAGGAGGGAAAGGACGAGGAGGGGGAGGAGGAGGAGGGAGAGGAGGAGGAGGAAGGAGGGGAGGTGGCGTGGGGAGGGAGGGAGGGAGGGAGGGAGGGAGGGAGGGAGGGAGGGAGGGAGGGAGGAGGAGGCCGGGGGTCACCTTGCACGCAAAGCTCTCGGAAGTAGGCGAAGCTCGCCGACTCCTTCCCCCCCATCACCTGCTGGCCTTCAGCTGGGCTGATCTCCTTCGCCCACTGTCTACCTGGACGTATTCTGAGGTGAGCTTGAAGGGTGCCTGCTCGAAGGCCATGTCTCCCGGGGGTGTTGGAGAGCATGAAGCCGAAGTCGATGTGGACGAGATGACCCGCGCGGGTGATCATCAGGTTCCCGTCGTTGCGATCCTTCACCTGTTCCCCTGCTGAGACTCGCAGACCCCTCCTCTCTCCCTCTCTTTCTCCTTCCCCTCCTCTCTCCCTTTCTTTCTCCTTCCCCTCCTCTCTCCCTCTCTTTCTCCTTCCCCTCCTCTCTCCCTCTCTTTCTCCTCCCCCGTCTCCCCTCTGCATTTCCCTCTCCCCTGCTTCATCAATCCTCGTCTACCTTGAGAATGTAGCAGACAACCGCATATGCTGCCATGCTCTCAATGAAGTTCCTCTGCGCTTGCTTGTAAGACGCAGAATGCTCTGGGCCGTAAGCCTGCACGAAGAGAGGAAAAACGTTTGAGAACACGTCAGACCGCTAGGAGGAGATTGCAGTAGAGCTAGGGGATGATGATGATGATGATGATGATGGTGATAATGACGATGGTGGTGGTTGGACGGAGATGGCTCTGTGAGAAATTGAGAGGGGGAACAAGAGAACCTTGAGGAAGTAAGAGTAGAGATTCTGCTCGCTCGGTGCCCACTTCATCGCGATCCACTTGTCTCTGAGCGCGTGCAGTGAGATGGCGTCAGGAACAACTTCAATCAGCCCAGCGTCGTCAGCTGTTGACACCACCTGCATCACCATCACCATCACCACCTCCTTCCCACTTCTCTCCTCTTCCCCCTCCCACGGCTTAGCTTCTCCATCTCCTCGCCGCTTTCTTGGGTTAGTCTTTATGCTTGTCACCTGGTATGGCCGCAGCCAGAGGTTTGACTTGCAGGACCGGAAGATGGAGTGGAAGCAAGAGATCAATTGCATCGCAAACTGCTCCTGCCGCAAGTCGTCTCCGCTCTTCACTATGAACGCGACCAGGTCCCACGTTCCTCGCCCCCCATGCCGCGAGCTTCGACGTATCCTCCCTCGCTTCTCCCTCCAACTCTCCCCGTACGTCTCATCTAGGAGCGACTTATGCCCACAAGAGGAGGAGGCGTCAGTCGGGAGCCCTGGGCCCGTCGGCCACCAGCTCTCAGCCTCCACGATATCAGACAAGCTCCTCTCCTCCTCTCCTCCTCCTCTTGATGCCCGCAGCCCTCGTCCCTTCGCCCCCTCTCCTGCTCTCCTTCCTCCTCCCTCCCCCTCACAAAGTATGCAGCTTCTCCTCTCTTCGCTCTCCCGTCGCTCCTCCACACTTTCAGGCCCAACGCTGCGGGCAGGAGGCCGTCGGGCGTCAAGCTCATGAGAATGATCGTTCTCCTGCAGGGAGTACATGTGCTCGTCGAGAAACAGAAAGTTCTCCTCCTGCAGCTGCCCCTGACGATTCGCCACAGCGATGTCGATCTCTGCGACGCAGTAGAAGGGAGCGCGCTTGTTTGTGCTGCGCACCTTTCAGCCCCTCCGTCGCCACCTACTCCTCCCTCACCTGAAGACTTTGGCTTCTTCTGCGAGGATCGAGAGAATCCAAAAAACTGAGAAGCGGCTCTGGAAGATGGGGAGGTAGAGGCAAGGGGGCAGCCGGTCGTTGATCTTGTCAAGTGCTGTCTGCAGCTCACGATGGCGGAGGGTCGGGTTGACTTCACGCAGCTTGTGCCCAAGCTCGCGGAGAACGCGGAGGAACTTGTTCGACTTCAGGAGCAGAGCACGTCGCTCCCTCGCCGTTGGAGCGACAGACCAGGAGCAGTGAAGCCTCCCGTACTCCCTCGTAAGCCCTTCCACGCTCTCTTCGTGCTCCTCCGCTGCCTCTGCTTCTCCCTTGCTGCTCCCTTCTCTCCTCTCCGCCAAAACTTCAGCCGACGAGGACCCCCCTGGACTTCTGGACAGGCAGCATTAGCTCAGGGAGAAGAGGGTGGAAACGAGAGGAGCTTGCACCTCCTGTAACGCGGTGTGCTAGGGTTGTCAACGATGCCCAGTGAGTCTTCAGCAGGAGAGGGAATAGGGAGAGTGGTAGGAGGAAAGCGTTCAGGTGACGATGCTCCGAAGACAACCGTCTCCATCATCTCGAGGAAGTTCTGAGCGACTCGGGGAGCTGCTTCCTGTCTCCTCTCGTCAGCTCAGAGCGAGGGGGGCGGGGAGCGACCTGGACGGATCGAACAAACGAGGAGATCGCGAAGGCGAGGGAGCAGCTATGCACAGACATCTGCAGCAGCGCGTGCTTGAGCGAGGGATCCCCCGTCGGCTCGTGCAGCGCCAAATCACAAAGTTGAGGGAGGAAGGCTTCCACTTGCCCTCCAACCCGATGAACTGCCTCAGACTGTCAGGAGGGCAGGCAAGGACTAGGAAGGAGGAGGAGTTGAGAGGAGTGTTCATGCTCACCAGCGAGGAGGTGCTGCGACAGAGCAACCCGAGCTCGACGGGGTCGTTTGTAGAGGAAGCAGCAGAGGATGATGTCCCACAGCAGCTTTGCACATTCGCTCCTGCTCAACCCGCCCGACATGATCCTCTCCGGCGACACTCTCGTGCATTCCGCACTATTTGAGGGTCAGCAGAGCACAAGGAGCAAACAGCCTCACCCGTGCTCTTCCAGCACCCTTGCAGTGTCCTCGTCCCCCAGCAGCTCGCAAAGTCGGAGAGGAGACACTCCCCGGTCGTTGTCGACGCGGCAGTCAGCACCAGCAGCGAGCAGCTGCCGCACCACTCCCGTCCTCCCAAACAGAATAGCCTTATGCAGCGGTGTCTCGCCGTACCTTGCGGAACGACGGTTGACATCGGCTTGCAGCAGCAGCAGCATCTCCACGCAGTCCTCCCCCCCATTGATCGCCGCGTAGTGAAGCGGCGAGTCTCCCCTGGGAGACTGACCCACCTCCTGCATGCTCCGGCCTGTCACAGAACTCGCGTCCACGTCGGCTCCTCGGTCGAGCAGGATGCGCATGATCTCGGCATTTCCCTTGATCGCTGCGACGAGAAGAGGCGTCTGGCTTCCCGTAGTGTCGTCAGCCCGGAGGTTGTGATGGTCGAGAAGAAACTGAGTCGTACGAGCATCTGCCTGCCGCACAGCCTCTACCAGGCTGTCACGGAGGGAGCAGATCTCGAAGCAGGGATCGCAGACACGGACGGGCTCGAGATAGCCGAGGAGGAGGAGGGGCCGCGACTTGGCGCTGCAGTAGTGGCAGAAGATGAGGCCGCAGTGCCGGCAGTGATGCCTCCTCAGCTCGAAGGAGAAGCTAGACTTGCATCGCGAGCATGCGCTCACCGTGCTGTCAGGGACCCACACGGGGCGATTGGGATGCGAGTGACTCAAGCTCATCAACTTCGCTCGATCCCCTGCGAGCTGATCAGGTTCCTCCCCTCACTCATAAATGCCCTCCATCCATCTTGTCACGAGGCTGACAAGAGCTGAAATAAGGCATTCCTCTCTCGCTGTTTTGCTGTGCAAGGAGAAGGACGATCTTCCTCGTTTCTTCAAGTCTGTAACATAAGTCAGTGATTTTGATCAGAACCTTGCGCCCATAGAAATCACTACCTATCAACACCTTTTCATCATTTTGTCACCCTCCCCCCCCCCCCCACCGCTCTCTC